TCTATATTATTACTATTATTATTTCTTATTATTATAGTAACTATTATTTTGGTGTGATTGCTGGTTTATTTGGATAACACAGTTTAAGTTAGTGAAAGTCAGGGCTGGGGAGATAGCTCATCAGTCTAAGCACCTGCCTGGCAAGTGCAAGGACATGGGCTCGATCCCTGGTACGATATGCCACACTCACTGAAACTGGGCGTGGTAGCACATGCCTGTAACCCCAGTGCTGGGGAGGCTGAGACATGAGGATCACTACAAGTCTGAGCTACATAGTGAGACCCTGTACCAAATACATGAATGAATGAATGAATGAATGAATGAATGAATAAAAGATTAAAAGATAATGAAAGTCACTTCCTTAGTAATGTAAAATTTTTATTTAAGCTGAGATAATGACTTAATGAAATTTTAATATGCTTTTTATTTTATTTTATGTATTTTTTGAGGTACCGGGAATCAAATTCAGGACCTTGTGCTTGCTAGGCAGGCACTATGCCACTGAGCTATATTCCCAGTTTAATGAAATTTTAATAGGAAAACTTTTGAGATAAAATGTTAACTTTTCCTCAATTATTAAATTTGATTTTTCCCCCTCTCATTAATGTAGCTCTCAAGAGGCAGAATTTGTACAATAATCCTTTCAACTCTATGAGTTACACAAGTCCTTACAGTCCAAATGCCAGTAGCCCATATAGCAGTGGCTTCAATTCTCCATCTTCAACCCCAGTGCGACCTCCTATAGTCAAACAGCTTATACTTCCTGGAAATTCAGGTAAGGAGAAAACAAAATGGAGTTACTAAGAAATGGTATTTAATTTACTTCCCCACTTCAAAAGATAACTTACTAATAATTCAAGTTCATTTTATTTATGAAACTTAAGTGGATAATGAGCCTTCTAGAGCTTTCTGTGACACAAGCAGCCCTCTGCAGCATGTATGCCATAGGTCCCCACCACTGGGATAATCTCCTTGAGGAGCCACTTTGCACCAGGTGTTATACTAGGCACTAAGAGTACAAAGATAGTTTAGTGGATTATATCAGTACTGTTTTCCTTAGTATGTGAGCCTTTTTAATCCTGTTTAATGAAATGACATCGCAACCTTGATCCTTTTTTATTTTTTTTGTATTTTAGGGAAGGGTCTACAGGGTGTTCAGGGTTTCACTACTAGATTGAACTCTAGTGATCCAGCCTCCAAAAAGCTGGGATTACAGGTGTGCACCACCAAGCCCAGTCTCAATTGCTATCTGAGCGTGCCCCAGGGGCGGGACCAGCCTGGCAGGCCTGGGCATCAAACCTCGCTTGCAAGAGCTTTAATTTGCTGAGCTATTTGGCCACCCCTCCCTTTTTTTTTTTTTTTTTGAGGTACCAGAGATTGAACTCAGAACCCTGCGCTTGCCAGGCAGGTGCTTATTCTACTGAGCTGTCTCCCTAGCTTCACAACTTTGATCTTTAATGAGTGGATCATCATTGAAGTGTGCAGTAATCCTTTCAACTCTATGCTGTAAAAGTTGTAAAAGCTACATTGCTAAAAAACTCTTTTAAAGGAGTTTTAATAAGCTTTGACTTTACAGTTAAGTAGTAGAATAAGGTTCTATGTGAGTGTGCCATGAGACAGATGGGTGCTGTAAGCGATGTACGTTATTGCTCTGAACTGAGCAAGACAAGTTTGCCCTGGGTCTGAGACTGACCCTTCTGTGTAGCGGCCTCTGCTATAGGACTCACTCATTCTATTACTTATGTTGCTACTGTTGTTACGATTCACTCATATAACTTCTTTAAAAGTTAAGAGGTGGTGGGTTTTTTTTTTTTTTTTTTTTTTTGGTTTTGTTTTTTTAAACCCAGTGAAAAGTCTGGGGCCAGGTAGATAGTTCAGTGACACAGTCTCTACATGGCAGGTGCAAAGTCCTGAGTTCAATTCCTGGTACCACCAAAAAAAACACCTCCATATTCCCTGAGATTCCTTTATTGACCCTGAACATTGCTTAGTATATACATTTTTATTTAGTACTTGTTCTACTTGTGATATTATATTAAAAAGTTTGATCTGTAATACTTATTTAAAATGAGGAACTTGATTCAGGTATTGAGTGAGCATAACTTTGTGGTACCTTTCCTATCATGTGCTCTTCTTTCATTGTTAGTATAATTGTTTATTTATTTATTTATTTATGTATTTGGTACAGGGTCTTGCTATGCAGCTTGGACTCTTAGTGATCCTCCAGTCTCACCCTCCCCAGCTCTGGGGTTACAGATGTGTGCCACCACGCCCATTTGTGGTGGCTCACACTGAGTAGTCCAGATTCCAGGGCCAGTGCTGCATGTGGTATCAGGAACTGAAACCACTTCCTTGCGCTTGCCAGGCAGGTGCTTAGACCGCAAAGCTATCTCCCTGGCCACTAGTATAAATGTTATTTTGTATTCTTTTTACTCTCCTTACATGCCTTTCATGTTGGAACTGACTTATGGTGAAAAATTATGAAAACAAATATTTCAGATAAAGCTATATTAGAAATATAAGAGGCTGTGTTGGGATTTTGTGATTATTTCTTCACAAAGAAGTTAAACTTTGGGCTGGGGAGATGGCTCAGTGGAATAAGCACTAACCTGGCAAGCGCAAGGGCTTGAGTTCAATCCCCGGTTCCGCAAAAAAAAAAAAAAAAACAGTTACTTTTAGACATATATATTCTGTATTCCTGTGATTTGTTCTGCCTTTTTGTTTAAAAAGATAAAACTACGTTTTAAAATCTAGTCGTTTTATTTTTTTTGTACACTAAGCAAGCACTCTACCAAGCTATATTACCAGTCTTTTTAAATGAACTTACTTTGAGATAGTGTCTTTGTTTCCTAGGCTAGCCTTGAATTTGTGATGTCTTTGTTCAGTTTCCAGAGTAACTGGAATCTCAGGCATGCGGCACCACACCTAGCTTACCTATGTCTCGTGCTTCACTGCTAAAATCCAGAACTCCTTGGTCTCCATTACTAATCTGGCAAAACAGTTAGGTAAATGTAATACGCAGAAAAATATGCCAAGTATTCTTACTTTGGGTTTGTTCTTCAGTGTCTAAGGAATCTAATTGTTCTCAAATAAGTTTTGTTGTTTAAGAAAAGTAAATGTTTTTATTCAGGGAAAAGATAATGGTGCTTGCTAATGACTAAATTTGGGAGGAGAAAATACATCATAAATTCATCTGCTTAGGTTCATAGTTTCATTGACTATCTTCTAAAAGTTGAAATCTTCTAACACATTTGAGTACTAACTATATTCATTAGGTAATGTATTAACAGTTTGATTAAAAGCTTAGATAAATTATACTTAAATGAAAAGGTATCTTATGTTTATGCCATTGTATATAAAGGAGTTTCTATAGTCTCCTTTTTCCTTTGAGGTCAATTTCCAATTACAATTTTTGCAAATTTTGTTAACTTTTGGTAGGATACTAATGAACTAAATTCATTATCTAGTTAATTGTAACAGTTTTTTTAAGCTTTTACCTTAGTAAGTTTGAATTTTTTTTTTTTTTTTTTTTTTTTTTTTAGGTAACTTCAAAAGTTCGTCAGACAGAAACCCTCCACTCAGTCCTCAATCCTCTATAGATAGTGAGTTAAGTGCTTCAGAATTAGATGAAGATTCAATTGGATCCAATTATAAGCTAAATGATGTAACTGATGTGCAGATTCTAGCCCGGATGCAGGAAGAAAGTAAGTATTTCAGTTATTAAAGGTTGAAATTTTTCACTAATTTGTATAGTTGGTGTGCCTATTGACTATGTCCTCTAGTGATGTGAAATAGTAATGGAGTGAAAGGAGAAACGTTGAAATGTGCAATTTAGAGGCTTATTCAAGAGGCTTGTTTATTTATCTGTTGTCAGAGCCCATTTTACATAGTAGTTTTGCCTCTTGAGAGGCAAAGAAGACATTGTGCTTAGTTTCTGTGGGTGTAGCTGAACTCTGTGGGTCACTTTGCATTGGCACTCATTAGTTACTACTCTGTCTTTGGTGTAAATCAGTGTTACTTAACCTTTTTGTTATTGCTTTCCTAAAGAGCCTTTCTACTTTTTCATCTACCTTTCCCCATGAAATTTTAATATCACAGTTAAACTCTTTAAATATTACAAATAATATACCTTAAAAGTTTTTCATACTTCAAAAACTATTTTCTGTCTTTTTGGTAGCAAATCGGACTTCTCCTTGCAAATGTACAAATATATATAAGATTATAATTATGATATTAAGTAAAACGTGATCATGCTTTGAAGCATGGTTCTTGAAACTGTTTAGGCCCCATTTATCTTAGAGAATCCGGTAAAAATGATTATTTCTGACATCCCTAAAATATACATAGGCACAAAATTTTTCATACTTTTTTGGGAGTTCATGAATAACCCATGCTTTTTCTTGACTGTGCATTTTATAAACTACCATACAATATACTGCGATCTAAAAAAATGTTTTTAAAGTGATCTTTTAACCTTTTCAGTGAAAAAAAATTGTTGAAGTACACATTTTAGAGTCTTGACAATTGGTGGAGAGTAATGGGACATTGTTAAAATTTTCTTCAAAAACTTTCCATTGTGTGTGTGTGCACAATAGATCCTTTCTTTATATAGTAGACTTTATCAAGCTGCAACATTTAAGAAACTGCAGCATGTTTCTCACTCTGCTAGTTCATTTCCCATTTAAAGGCAGCTTGCCTTGGACAGATATGGGAGGGATTTAATGCTTTTTTAAAAATTTCTTGTTATACCTGAAAATTGTTGATGGTCTCTCTTTTATAATTTTATGGAACTTTGTTGATTGAGTAGTCTGTGATACTTTCAACTAGTCAATTCATGGATATGAAAGGGAGGACATAAAAAATGTTGTTTAATTCTTTGCCATAGAATAAATTCATTCAATTTTTTCTTTAAACTTCTGACTTTTTAGATCCTAGAATTTTGAATTTTTTTTTTTTTTTTTTTTTTCAGAACTAGGGATTGAACCCATGCCCTTGTGCTTGCCAGGCAAGCACTTATTCTACTGAGCTATCACCCTGGACCCTTTGTTGATGTTTAAATAGCTCTTTGAATTCCATTCTTTTTTTTTTTTTTTTTTTTTTTTTTGTGGAACCGGGGATTGAACTCAGTCCTTTGTGCTTGCCAGGGAAGTGCTTATTCCACTGAGCCATCTCCCCAGCCCTTGACTTCCATCTTGTGTTATAGTAAGTAATAGAAATTTTAGCCTGAGGGCTGGTAAGATAGCTTAGTAGTCTAAAGCGCCTGCTTAGGCAAGTTTAGGCCTATATAGCGCAGGGACCATGGTTTGATTCCCTGGCACCACATGCTGGCCAGCCCTGCCCCCAGGGTGGGCTGAGCTAGCCACACAAAAAGAAATTTTAGCCTGTAGTTTAGTGATCTTTCTTAAGCTGTCCAATTGCATGCATATTTATTTCTTTGTGACTTAAGAGAGATGTTACTAAAATATGTCAGATTTTTCCTTGAAAATTATATGCATTTCTCATTTTTTCAGAGATGATTTTCTCTTTTATAACATAAATCTTCCAGGATTTCTGCAACAATTAGAAACATAGAATTACATACTTTTTTAATCTTTCCTGATTAAGCTTTAAGTTTTTAAAAATAATTGTAAAACTCTAATAGGGATTGTAATTTGCTCATTAGGAACTTCTTGTTTGTAAAGAGGCTACATTGGGATCAGGATTTTCTTTACTGAAACAGTCCTGTTTTACAAGCCTGTTTTCTTTTAGATGACATTAGTGTCATATTTGCTATAACTAGACACTGAGTAACTCAGTACTGTGCTTCCTAATCCTGACTGAAGGACTCAGTGGACCAAGGAATTATTAGTGATTTGTTTTGTTTTGTTTTACAGGGCTGGGATTGAGCCCAAGTCCTCATTCATGCCAGGCATGTACTGTACGAGTGAGCTATGTCCTCCAGGAAGTTAAAGATACTCAAGAGTGATTCTAGTATAGTTTTTGGAACCTTGTTAATAGTACTGACTATATATAAATATGTAACTTAAAGGCTTGAATGTCTCCGTATAACATCCTTCTTCCTAGATTGCCAGTAGTTAGCAGGCCTTGCTCGAAATATTACCTAGATTTTGTTGTATTGTTATAGTTTTAATACAAAGGTTAATTTTCCAAGGAGCTTATTTGTTCACGGATATATTCTGTTCCTTTAATGTTAGTCGCAAATCTAATTTCACATTCCAGAAAATCATGAAATTGTTAGCAGATTTTTGTTCAGTTTTAAAATAACCTTTAGATCTGATTTATACATCCTTCTGTGGGAGAATAATTAAAAGTAAAAGCGAAGTTTTCCATTCTACTTTACATCTTATTTGAATTTTTCAGTAGTTAAACTTTACTTTTAAGTTAAAAAGTATTGATATTTTTAAAATATAAAGAAATAAAGTAACACACTCATTGTTGCCAGGTCTTCGGCAAGAATATGCAGCCACCACATCTCGGCGCAGTTCTGGTTCATCTTGCAATTCCACAAGACGGGGTACATTTAGTGACCAGGAACTTGATGCACAAAGTTTAGATGATGAAGATGACAATATGCATCATGCAGTATACCCTGCTGTTAACAGGTTTTCACCATCACCACGCAATTCACCTCGACCGTCACCTAAGCAGTCACCCAGAAATTCACCTCGTTCACGATCTCCAGCCCGGGGAATAGAATACAGTAGAGTGTCCCCACAGCCTATGATTAGCCGCTTACAGCAGCCTCGCCTTTCACTTCAAGGTCATCCCACAGATTTGCAGACAAGTAATGTTAAAAATGAAGGTAAAGCATAGCATATTTTATTATTATTATTATTATTATTATTATTATTATTATTATTATTATTTTGTATTTAGTACAGGGTCTACAGGATCTCACTACATAGATCAGACTCATAGTGATTCTCCTGTTTTTAGCCTCCCAAGCACTAGGATTATAGGTAGGCACCACTACGCCCAGTCTTAGTTGCCATCTCATTGCAGGCCCGGGTGTTGGGACCAGCACTGCACGCTGGGAATTGAACCCTGCCTGCTGCACTCTGCCTAAGCAGTCACTTTAGTCCACTGATCTATGTGGCCAGCCCCTCATAGCAGATTTTATAGTGAAAATATTCTTGAAAAAAATTAGCCTTTATAATCCAGTATGAAAGGAACAGAGTTTTGCCAACGTTATATATATCTGATAATAGTCACATTCACCATTTTATTGATAGTTTATCAATGCAAAAATGCAGGAGGAAGTGACTTTAACTTTACTTACTTAATTTACTCGTGGAGCAATTTTTTTTTTTTAGTGGTAGTGCCAGGGATCAAATCTCAGTCCCTGTGCTTGCCTAAAGCAAGTTCCTAGTCTGCTGAACTATCTCACTGACCTGCCCAGTCCCAACTTTTCTATCTCTCTCTCTCTCTCTCTCTCTCTCTCTCTCTCTCTCTCTCTCTCTCTGTCTGTCTGTCTATCTATCTATCTATCTATCTCTGTATGGTTTTTAAAGAGTTTTCTTATTCTGCCTATTAATAGACTCTGGGATTTTTTTTGTAAATAAGTACATATTTTTCTTTGATAGTATTTAGAATGTTGCCTTCCTAGGCAGAATGCAGCTCCAGGGTTTGATCCCTGGCATGCTATGCCGGCCCTGCCCCTGGGACTCACTGAGATGGCAGTTGAGACTGGGCAAGGTGGCGTGTGCCAGCACTAGGCAGCCTGAAAACAGGAGAATCACTATGAGTCCAATCTATATAGTGAGACCCTATAGACCCTGTAATAACTAAATACCAAAAAAAAAAAAGTATTTTATTTTTCAGTTCTAATTGCTATTTTAATTATTTCTCTGCTTAAAGAGTGGTTAGATTTTTTTTTTACTTAAAATTCTATTATAGAAAAACTAAGGCGGAGCCTTCCAAACCTGTCCCGAGCATCTAGTACACAAGTTGACTCAGTGAAGAGCAGCAGAAGTGATTCGAATTTTCAAGTGCCAAATGGAGGAATACCTCGTATGCAATCTCAGGCTTCAGCCAGTAAGTATCTTTTTTACACTTGAGGTATCAATTAGCATCAAATGAAAATTATATTCATTTCTAGCTAAACAGTTGTATTAAACTATTGTTATAAGATAATCCTGTATTAAAATTCAAAGTTGTCCCTACAAACATATCCAATTCTATCAGTAAGTAAAAATGTATGAAACTTTGATCTCTACAAAATTTTAAAATATGCTAGAACTTTTTTTATATAAAAATTTTGTTTATTTGGTATAGGATCTTGCTATGTAGTTGAGACTAGTAGTGATCTTCCTGTCTCAGCCTCCTTGATTCTGGGATTACAGATGTGTACCACCGTGCCTAGTTTTGGTGGTTGGCAGGTTGTGCCCAGGGTTTTAGGGCTGTCATGGCATGTGGTACCAGGGATCGAACCCAGGTCCTTGTGCTTGCCAGGAAGGTACTTAGACTGCTGAGCTATCTCCCCAGCCCACTAGGTCTATGTTAAGACAGCCATTACTTATAAAAGTTAGAAGTAGATATAGTAACCACAGTGCTGTCCAAATGTCCCATTTTCTTTTAAAATATCTAGAGTAGAGGATGTAGGTCAGTGATAGTATGCTTGAGAAGCATATGTAAGGCCTGGGTTTGATCCCAAGCAACCCTAAAATATATATCTAAAGCTTATAATTACATATTCTAGAACATACCATAATAAATTTAAGCAATTCACTGATCAAATTTGTAGTGTACTTAGTTTGTATCAGAGTTGGAGTTTTGTAAATTTTTTCTAGAACAAAAATGTATTATGAAGAATTAGATAATATTACCTTATTTCTATGTCCTCAGAAAATTTAGGGACTTGATTTATTTCTGTGACTATTATGAAAACTACAATATTTAATCATGGTAATGTCAGATTACTTCATGTTTTCCTTATTAGAGATTAAAATTTGAGATAATAAATTACCATAAACAATCATTCTTTAAGACTTGATCATATTGGGCCCAGTGGTCTAAGCTCCTGCTTAGGCAAGCGCAGGGACCAGGGTTCAATCCTGACACATGCCATGCTGGCCCTACCCCTGGGCATACTGAGCTGCCTAGATTGGTTATGTTGCTGCGTGCCTATAATCCCAGTGCTGGGGAGGCAGAAAACAAGAGGATCACTAGGAGTCTGAGCTGTGTAGTGAGGCCCTGTACCAAAAAAAAAAAAAAAAAAAAAAGACTTGATATATTTCTCTATTTTAAATTATGTTTTGAAATAAATATTTAGAGTTAAACCTAAACTCTAGCAGAGAAAATGAATTTTGGAAATATTAAGAAAAATACATGCAGATCTGGGCATGGTGATATACATGTGTAATCCCAGCATTTGGGGGACTGAAAATGATAGAATTTGGTGGAAAGAAATAGTCTTGAAACTAAACCTTAAAACCCAGCAACTTTCTTACTAAACCATTAATAAAAACAAGATAGTGCTATAAAAACACCAGAGCAACTGAAAGATAATGTTGTTCTTAGTAAATATATATTATAGCAAATATAGGATTTCATGTTTTAAGAAATGAGCTTAAGGCAACATTGGAAAGAAGGGTTAATACTAAGGAATTAAGGAGATATAATGTAACATAAACAGAAACCAGAGAGAATTACTCAGTAAGACAAACTGACCAAATTAAGCAAAAAAGAAACTATGCAAGAGTAAATTGGCACTGTATGCATTACTGTATACTACAAGGTGATTAAAAGGAATTGAACATTTCAAAAAATTATTGCTTATTAATTAGGATAGATATGAGTATGCAGTTGAACCAGTTTTAAATGCATAATTACAGTTATTTCTGTGATTGCGTAAATACTGAGTTATAGCTCTCAGTTCACGTGAGTCTTGCACTTGGGCTTTCAGATCCAATCTCAGTATGATGGCATATTGCCATCAGTGTCTGCAGGGTAGCTGTGGTGTGTTCCTGCTTGTCTTCAAGGCTATAAAGAAATGATACAAATATGAAGTTATTAACTGGTCTATTTATAAATCATTTATTGAGTAATGAAATTTTGAAAATACCTGATTTTTTAAATTCCTTTGCAGTCTTGTTTGCCTTTATTACTTAGCTGGCTTCATGTCAGTGGCTCAAAATCAGTAGGCTACAGCTGGAGATATAATGTAGTAGTACAGTACATGTGAAGTATGTGTGAGGCCCAGTACCGCCAAAAAAAATTAGCACACTATCGAGAACTACACTTAAATCCGAGTAACTTCTGTAGTGTAGTGACAAATCTGCCTCTTTTACCATTGTATATAATATTATTTGTATTATAGAAATTCACATTATATTTACATAGGCTTATTTAATCCTCAGAGCAAATTTGTGATGGAGATACAGTTATTATCATGTTTTTAAAGTTAGAAATCCAAGCTTTGACTAGTTCATATCTGCAGTTGTACATCTTATATAAGTGGCAATAGTGATCAAGCCATGGTGATCCAACATGAGAATCTGAGCTGACAAAAGATTTGTCACATCTATGATGTAATACAAAGATATATAAAAGTTATCCAAATATACAATTTGTATATTTTCTAAGATTTAAAACTGTAAACTTTAAGACACTGTTCACAAGTACCTACAGATTTATACACCTCATTTGTTCTGCTAAATATATGCAAAATGTTTTTACACATAATTATAAACTTAGTATGTTGTGTCTTGTGGAATTGATACTATGAATTGCATAATCAAGAATGCTGTTATCATAATCATTATACTCATAAAAATATAGACTATATAAATTCATAAACCTTTAAAAATGAAATTACAGATAGAGTTTGAGCTCTTTAATCTCGAAGTGTGTAGGTAGTTTTACCTTTAGATTTAAAAGCTCAAGCAAGGGGCTGGGGAGATGGCTCATTAGAATAAGCACTTCCCTGGCAAGCGCAAGGACCTGAGTTCAATTCCCGGTTCCCCTAAAACAAATAAAAGCTCAGCAGAAAGATCATGAGTTTGAGGCCAGAAGTTGATAATTAAGAAAATACATATAGAAAATATGATGATAGTCTAATCACAAATTCATTATTTTGTAGAAAATAGTATACAAAATAGACTCATAAAGTTGCAAAAAATAATGATATATAGGCAGAAAAGTGAATTCACTATCCTTTTTTTCAGTCATATGTACTTGTATTTTTATTTTTATAGCTTTGGTAAGTTAATAGTTTAAAATGTCACGGATATATTTGTTTTAATATAGAATTACACTGCTTTCAGAAATACAGTTAGAAAGTAAAAAATCTAGGCTGTTACCAAGCTTAGAACTTTAGCTTACTTTTTGAGAATACTGAAAGATTTTTGTTTAAAGTTAATACATCATTAAGTAAAACTGTTTTTCTTGAAATTTTGCATAAATCTTTACTGCATAAAAATATGTTCTTTTAATTAATAGGTGCATTGTTTTCATAATAACCTTTTAAAATGATATATAATTATGCAGAAATATAGTAGGTTTCATACATCTTTATACAGTGGATTAGTATTTGTATTTTTATGTAAACTTCACTTATTAGCGTAATAGATGTTGCATTTTGTTTCTTTTAAATATTTATTTTTCCAGCTATAACTGGTAAAGCTTTGGTGTTTTCTTGCTGGTGTGCATGAAGCTAACTTTGCAAGGTTGCTTATTTCCAATTTCAGGACCACTTCTTTTGCCTTGCTACTATGCCAATCACTATTTTTATATGCTTATTTGCTGTGGCTGCATTATTGTGAATGTTGGCTTTCAATTATGAGTATTATGAGAGTTTTAATATATTTTCAACTTGTATTATAAATTTTCAACTTTTATATATGAAAAATGTGACTTAAAAAGCTTAAGAAAACCAGAGCAATTGGTGGCACATGCCTGTAATCCCAGCACTTGGGAGGCTGATGCAGGAGAAATGCTGCAATTTTGAGACCAGACTAAGCTACAAAATTGAGTTCAAGGCCAGCTTGAATTGCTTAGTGAAACCCTGTTTCAAAAAGACCAAAAAGAAAAAAGAAAACCAGAGTATGGTTCCAGATCATGTTCTCAGTTTCTTTCGGTAAAGAAGAAAAATTTTATCAGAGGTAGTTTTTCAAAGGGCTCATACCTTGTTTCTAAGACAACTAGACCAGACTTAATAGAAAGTGTTAGTTTTCAGAAAAATATAGGACTTAATTGGTCCATAAATAGAGAAAAGGAAGACAGAAAACTCCAATCTGCTGATTTTTAAAAGGTATCCAGATTTTGATTAGCATTTTAAGATGTTTAAAAATACTTCCAGATGTATTGTCTCATTTGAACCTTAAAAAAACACTCATTTATTTTTATAGAAAAGTAGCAGAAATCTGTATAAATCACATGAATTATAAAAAGTTAAGTGAATAGAAAAGTGCACAACCAAATTACTCCTTCCTCTCAAGCCTCCCTGAAATTCCTTATTTCCTGTCCATCGTTTGGATTATGTCGTAATGAGCTAATTGCAAATGAGTAGGTGTCTTGAGGAACACTCACTGATGATTTTTTTGGAGCTTGTTTTGAGATTAAACCTTAAATACCCCAGCGAGAAGGTTTATGGAGCAGTATTCTACTCTAGAATTTGCCCTGAATGGGGTGCCTGGAAGTTATCAGCTTAGACATAGCCAGACCATTTGCAGCTGCAGAAGGAAGGAATTTCTCTCTAGATTTCACTGACTACCAAGACATTAAGAGGTTACATACGAATTTTACGTTTCTATGAATTATTGATTGAAATCATATTACATACACTAACTGTAGTAGACTAAGAATGAGTAAAATAGTTATAGAATATCAGTTAAAGAAAATGTTGACAGTAATGGTGGGTCAGTAATGTAATAATGAGATTTTATAATTATTTTTGTCCTTTACCCCTGAATATTTTGATTGAATAGACTTGAGATAGATACCTAGAATTTCATTTTTCAGAGGGATCTCAGTTGTTTTGGGGATTTATCCAAGTTTGATAGCCACTTATTTGAACCTTCACTTTGAAAGATTTTGAATGCTTGCTTTAGGCTCTAGATTTTGTCCAGTGGCCAATCACTTATGTGTCCATTAATTATGCAATGGGGGGGGAGAGAGACAGAGAGAGAGAGAGAGACAGAGAGAGAGAGAGAAAAGAGTGAAGAGTGAGTATGTGTGTGTGTGGCCCCAGCCTTGCTAATGTAAATGTAAGACAGGCTATACTTTCCAATAGGCAGGAACTTCTTTAGGATTACAAAAAAGGTACTCAGTAGTGTGAAGTGTTTTCAGGAAAGATATTAGGAGATCTCTCAGTTGGCTCAGGAAGAGCTTCTATACTTTGGCAGATAAAGAAAGGATATATTGATATTCCCAGAGAGGGCACCAACTGTGAAATCTTGAGAGTGGCAGCCAGATTACTGAAGGGCAGATAGATCAAATGGGATGATAGGTCAGAGCAGTGATAAGTGAGAAGTGTAAGTAGGACATGGATGAACAGATTTAAATAGCACACTAAGGAATTTGAGTTTTCAGCTTGTAGTATTAGGAGCCATGATGGGCTTTCAGACAAGATTCCATTTTAGAAGCTTCCTTCTCATAGCACTATGGACAGTAAACTGAAATGAAGAGACTCTTGGAAAGTTATTGCGTATGGGCCAGGGAGATAGGTCAGTGGTTTAAGTGCCTGCCTGGGGCAAGCATAAGGTCCTGATACCCTGGTACCACAAAAAAATAAAAAAAGAAAGAAAAAAAAAAAAACAAACTTATTGCATAATCCAGGCAAAAAGTAAAGATCTGAAAAAAAGTCAGTGTAATAAATTTTTTTTTATTTTTTTACTTTTTTTAAATAAGTGGAAGATAGGTGATTAGTGATGCTCAGAAAATTAATGGCAAGTGACAGAGTATCAAAGAATGACTAAATGAGAATTTGTAAGCAATAAAAGTTTTTAAGTAAAGTAACCTCTTAGAGGAAAATATTGTTTATAGGGTAGAAAAACGAGAGGTATTCTACATGGCAGTAATTAACATTGATTAATAGCAATTCACACTTTCATAGCACCTCAGATTATTTTGACATTTGTATGACAAAACTATGTTCTATAATTATAATTAGGGGGCTGGGGAGATGGCTCAGTGGAATAAGCACTTCCCTGGCAAGTGCAAGGGCCTGAGTCAATCCCCAGTTCTGCAAAAAAGAATAATAATAATAATAATAATAATAATAATAATAATAATAATAATTAGGTCTGGGGAGATAGCTTAGGGTTAGGGTTAGGGTTAAAACGCCTGCCTGGCAAATGCAGGACCCGTTTGAACCCCGGTACCACATGCGTTGCTGCCCCCCTAACCCCAGGCATGTCATGCCACCCTGAAACCATGCATGGTGGTGCATGCCTACAATCCTAGCACTGGGGAGGCTGAGACAGAAGGATCACTACGAGTCTGAGCTGAGTAGTGAGACCCTGTACAAAATAAATAAAAATGAAAAAATAATGAACTGAGTTAAAGTAATAATGGCCAGGAAAAAAACGGCCAGCATTGAAAACATTTTTGAGTTTTCTATTTTTAACTGTCAGTAAAAAATAGTATCAATACTGCATACAAAAAAATAAAGATGATGAAATATTAAATTGTACTGATTTTTTTTGTAAGCAAGAAATATACACATATATTTTTTTAAGGGGGGGTGGTTTGAGACTTCCTATGCAGTTCAGGATGGCTAGAACTTTGTAGCTCAGGCTGTCCTCAAACTCAGAGATCCTCCTGCTTCAGCCTCCGAAGTGCTGGGATTATAGGCACATGCCACCATACCTGGCCTAGGAATATTTTTACATACTGACCTATGATAGCAATGAAATCACTTTAGCTTCTAAAAATCTGTCAGAATTCTTCAAAATTTATATTCTTTGAATATTGAGGCTTAACACACTAGTGAGATTTATCAGTTTATCATAAATCATATTTGATGAAAGAACATCATCTTTATGATTTTGAGTTTTTCCTTCATTGTCCTAATCAATTGTCCAATCAGGATGATAATGGTTTGAGGCAATGAGGAGGCAATGGTAATACAAAAGAGGGGATAGAAGTAAGAAAGTGCAAGAGGTGAATAAACAGAACCTAAAATAAGATTTTGAGGTAGGATGATTTGGAAAATGGTGTTAGATGTTTGCCAGAGGTTTTTAGAGGGGCTTGCTTGTGGAGCAAGACTTTAAGCTAAATGATGGCAGCATCATCAAAGGACAGTTGTTTTTGGTAGTATCTTTGTCACTTATGGTAGTCTTGCTAATTTGGAATTACATGAATATTAAAAGATAAAGCTAGGCAAATTTTAAACCATAAACAATTTCAAACATTAAATTCTATTAATTTAGAAAGCTTTGGAGAGTTTCACTTAGGTGTACTTTCTTATTTGACAAATGATTTGACTTCAGGAAACTAATTGAATAAGAATGATAATTCAGATACAATTTTTATTTTGTTCTACAGCATGGCATTTTATTCTATTTCACTCTATTTCTGTCAGGTCAATTTCCTTGGTTTTGTATGTACTGAGTTCTTAAAATCCCAGTGTACAGTTTTTCTGTCTACAGATGACACTTGAGGGATAATAGTCTATTGGAGTTACTGTAGCTTCTCAAGTAAGATCTTTCCATTAAGTCCTCATAAAATTTTTGTATTGGCTAATAGATTCTGTAGATTGTGAGCATATATTCAGTTAATTTCCTTCTGTGCTCAATTGTAACTAAGCCTACTTTCTATTCTTCAAACATACTACACATGCTCCAATCTCAGCATTCTTTACAATTGCTTTTTCCACAATGTAGAGTGCTTTTCTAGATAGCTGCATGGCTCTCCCACTTTTCCTTCAGATCTTTATGTAGATGTCATCTTAGGGAACTCTTTCTTCATCACATTGCAATTTAAATTGTCTATTTCTTACTCCTATTTCCTACTTAACTTTTATCCTTAACAGCTATTGCTATCCAGAAGACCATCTATTTTCCTACTTTATGTCTGTCTCCACTTTGCTTAAGTGTTAAGAAATAAGAATAAAGGACTATGTCTACCGAGTTGGTGCCTAAAGCCATTGCACCAAAACAGTACCTGGAATTTAGCAGACTCAGCTAATTAAATAAGTGAAAGCAAAGATGGATGGATGGATGGATGGATAGATAGAAGGAAGGAAGGAAATATGAATGAATAGAATAAAATATGAGTGGTGACCATCTCCTATTTTATGGGATAGATGTACAGCTGTTTATTGAGTTGGCATCAAACTTTATTTATGCGTAGTGTTTGGAGCACTGTAAAATTGGGAATCATTTACATTTCTTTTTTAATAAAAGTATTAGCTTTGCGATAGCTGTAAGAATTAAGCAACAGCGGAAACGGCCATTATTCTCTCTATGCTTTCTGAAGATAACATTTCTCTTTATTATCCTAATGATTATGCCCTGGATAGTCTTATAGGAGTGGGATTTCTCACTGTTTTGTTGTACAGGAGTCCTAGAAGTGTATAAAGTCTTAACTCTGGTCAATGGAATGACACTTCAGAGCCACTTTAATAAGTGACTACACTGGTTTGTGTGGCACTATGATAGTTGAGCTGTAATAACTATAAATTGAAGTAATTGGAGTTATTTTAATACAAGGCAACACTATGCTGTATCTTACATGCCAAATTTGGAGTTTCGATATAGTTGATAGAAGTTTGGAAGAAAGCTCAGCATTCTTCATTGGTCACAGTAAAAGGTAAATGCTCTGACTTATCTTAATCCCCTCAATCCATAACACACACACACACACAAACATACCTCCCTCCCTCTATGCATATGTATGTGCACAGTCCAGAGATGGTCCTACAAAACTCTGAGGCAAGGAGAAGTTGTATTCTATAGCAGAACAATATTGAACACATTAAAACCAATAAATTATGACTTCCTGAGGACTCGCCTAGTTCTGAGTTTTCTTTTCCTTTTTGAGTATGGGGATTACTATTTCAATTTAGGGCAATTCATCTAACAATAACTGCTTTGCCAAAATGTGCTTTTTTGCATTAAACAGTACTGCATTTACTTTATTCTGTACTGTGTGCTTGTGTTGATCATGTCTTTGTATTGTATTCTTTGCATCCTGTAGCATGTTTGCTGGTGGTTTGTTTTCTCTTTGCTGTTTCAACCAGTTGACACTTTAGAGATGTTTTCATCTTCAGAGAAACTAGTTCTTAAAGTATGCTACTGTGTACTAAGATTTCCATTCCCCTTTTCCAGCGGAATGCACTAAGCATCACTTTAAAATTTCTGTTTCTCGGATTCTAACATTTTTGCCTTATCATTTCTGCTTCTTGATAAGTTTTAGTTGTATTAAAATATTCAAGTTTACAGAAACTATAGCCTTTATCTTGTACTTCCAGGCAAATGTTACAGTTCCTTATTTTTCAACAGCTTCGCAAAGGCTGAAAAATTTGCCTCGTACTTCCCTCAAAGCCAAACAGTTGCTTCAAACTCCATCTACAAAAAGAGGTAACTACAACCTCTAAGTTTAAAATTTCAGCAAATGGTGTAGTTAAATCTTATGCCTCTTGGCATACTGATGCAGTGATGTCTATAAGGCACATATTAGTCTGTTTTGTTAAGATAATGTAGATTTATTTTTCTGGTATATGGATAAATGCAGGAGCAACATTTTCTATAGAGGTATGTATTGGGTTGCTCTTCTGAAAGTAGTATGTAATAGAGAATTTATTTTTTTAAGCCAACCTAAAACTAAGGATCATTGTTTTAATTTAATGAGTTGAACCAATAAGTGCTTTAAAATGGACCAAATGTCAGATATTCTGTGTTAATGTTTTTCCCCCCAGACATAGATTTTTTAGTTCATTTACGTGTAAAATAAAAAGTGAATAGAAACACTTTTTCATTAATAGCTGATAGAAGTTAAAACACAAGTTATAGTCAGTTGATATGTTTGAATGTTAGAGTCAGACCTTTTGTAGAATCTGACTGCTGAAGAAATATAAGAAAGTAAGACACTAAAGCTATACAATATTGCTTCCAAGAGATTGGATGTATGGATAGGTAGAAGGAAAGAGAATTTAAGATGATGCTCATTTTGAATAGAATGACAATAATAAGAATGAATAGAAGTCACAGAGAAAATGAGTTAGAACAAATATAAGCAATGAGGAAAAATATTTCCTTTATCCAGGACATGTGAGTTTCCTGATGGTTTCCTACTTCAGAAAATAACAAAGATATAGAGATATAAAGCAAATTGTTGAGGAAGAGGAAGTTTGAGATTTGATTTATTAGGAAAAAGGCTTGATTAATATGGTTAGTGTGTTTTTGAGACAGGGTCTTGCCATGCACTTCAGGCTGGCCTCGAATTCACTGTGTAACTCAGGCTGGCCTCCAATTTGAAACAATCCTCCTGCCTCATCCTCCCAAATTCTGGGATTATAGGCATGTGCCACCACACCCAGCCTAGATCTCTTACCACCATGCCTGGTTTTATGTTTATAAAAATTCTGTAATAGGCATTTTGACAGATTTACTACTTTAAGTGTTTTAGCATTGATTTAGTGGATTGAGTATAAAGAATTAGTTTTAGATAATAGAATCTGAAGGAGAGAGAATAGTCAACTAGAAATCTAGGACGTGGGCTGAGTAGATAGCTCAGTGACGTTAGTACCTGCCTGGCAGGTGCAAGGTCCTGAGTTCAATCCCTCATACCAAAAAAAAAAAAAAAAAAAAAAGAATATTTGAAGCTGACCGTGGGCATTCAATACAGATATCGTCTAGTGGCATAGTGAGCAAAATACACTGCATAAACTCTTTTTTGGTTATTTTGTTAGTTTCTTTTATTCTTTTGATAAAAAAGATTACTTATTGGGGTCTTTTTGCATTTAGTACAGGGTCTGTAGGGTCTACAGAGTCTCATTAGACAGATCAGACTTGTAGTCATTCTCCTGTTTTCAGCTTCCCAAGCTCTGGGATTACAGGTGCGCCACCACACCCAGTCTCAAATTGCTGTCTCACTGCTCTGGGGGCAGGACCGGCATGGCAGGCCAGGGATCAAACCCCAGCTGCTATGCCCTGCCTAAGCAGGCACTTTAATCTGCTGAGCTATCTGGCCGGCCCTTATTGGGGTCTTTATAGAAAGGGATCCTTACTAATTTATCAAAAAAATGAACATAATTGCAGTACAGTGTTTGGCTCTGCCGTAAATAGTATTTTCATAATTATAGCAAACTGATCAGTTTTAACAATACAATATACTTCTATTGGTAGTAAGAAGGAAAAGAAATAGAAATAAAGGACCAAGTCGGTTAGATCTTTTTTAATCTGTAAGAAAAACAGTAAAATATAGAAGTGGTGATTCAAACTAAGTGTATACTAGTGAAACAGAAAAAAATAGAGATAAATAGGTAAAATAAATAACAACAGTAACAAACTAAAAAAGAGTTTGGGGTCCCAACATTACAGGCTTATTTACAATAACAGATTTGGCATCAACCTAGATGTCCAACAATGGGTGAATTTTTTTTAAATGTGGCACATATACATCCTAAATATTGTGTAGACATTTAAAAAGGTGAAATCCAGCTAGGGAGGCTGAGCAGGAAGATCACAGCTTGGGAAATTTAGTCATTTAGTAAGACCCTGTTTCAAAATAAAAAGTAAAAAGGGGCTGGGAATGTAACTTAGTGGAATTGACCTCTGTTCAGTCACCAGTACTAGGGCCCAGGGGTGGGTGTGAAAGATCATTTGTGACAATATTGGCTATGAGGGACATTATGTAAAGTGTAGTGACCCAGAGATAAGAGGGACAAATGCAGTACTGCATGATCTCATTTGATGTATGCTTCTCATGACAATGCCTATAATGTGAGCACTGGGAAGGAGGATTACTGTGAGTTTAAGGCCAGACTAGGCTATGTAGTCTATTCAAGGCCAGCCCGAACTGCGTAGTGAGACTCTTGCACAAACAAACAAACAAACAAAAATATATAGCTTCTGCAAAAGTTGACTTATGGAAATAGAGTATAACTAGCAGTAGTGAGCTAAGATCACTATTAGGGAGTGGAGGAAAATGAGATTTGCTAGTGGGTACGACAAAGTATAAGGGTAGGAAGAGCTAGTGTGGTGTTGCACAGTGGCTGACTGTGGTTAATAATAGTGTACTGTATATTTCAAAATAATTAGGTTTTTTAAATACTATCACCAAGAGAGAAATAATAAATGTATGGGGGTAATAGATATGCTAATGACCCTGGCTTGATCGTCATACAAAGTATATATGAATTGAAAAATCACATTTTGCCCCATATGTAGGTATACCTCAAACTTTTGCTTGGATACTTACGGATTTTTTTTAGCACTGTACTTCTTTGGCTTGGGTAGAAGGCAGGTGAAAACAGATCTGCAGGCTGGGGGAATAGCTCAGTGGTACAGTGCTTGCTGCTGGTGAGGGCTTCCTAACACACCCCAAAAACTGAAGATAGCTAAGCTGAACTTATCACAAATTGTGCTATCAAAAACAGGGCAAAGGTTTTTAAAAATAAATAAATCAGACCAAAAAATTACTATGCTGTAATAAAAGAGTAGGGGATTTTTTTTTTTTTTTTTTTTTTTTTTTTTTTTTGTGGTACCAGGGATTGAACTCTAGACCCTGCGCTTGCCAGGCAAGCACTTATTCCACTGAGCTATCTCTCTGGCCCAAATCTTGTTATATTTGGAAGCTGTTTCATTTATTTTTTGAAACCAGATAGATTTATATGATTTAAAGTTTTACTTAAAGATTTTATATTGCAATATTTATTAGGGTTTATTAGGATAAGAAAACTATTATTTATGGCTGGATTTTAAAAATTTAACTATTGGAGTCATATTATTTTTGTGACTTTGAGCTGCCAAACTGCCTATCCTCCAGGATGAGATGACAAAACAGCTGAGTCTCAACCAGTATGAACTGGAATTTCTCCATATCTGGCTATCTTGTTGAGTTACCAAAGGGACAGAATTTTGTGTCTGTTGTGTGTTTGGTTTTATTGCTCTGTTTCATTTGATCTCTTATTCAGTGATCTAGTCTTTTGTATTTTCCGGTTTATGTTATGGCTTGATAATTCTCACTATGTACCCTTTCTCTTTAAGTTGTGAACCAACTGAGAAGTAGGACAGGAATAAAGTAGGATTTAAAATAATAGCTCAATTTCTTATGAAGCTAAATGGAAGAACATGTGTTGGATCCAAGACCAAACCCTCTCTGTCTAGAGTAGCTGTTCTTCTGAATTTGTACAGCAATCACTTCCTTTTCTGTATGATTTTGTTATCCAAGTGATGAAACTGCAGTTTTTCCTTTTTAATGTCTTTATTTTGAGTTTCTTTTGTAGTTGTCCTCTTTCCTTCTTTTCCTATATTTGTGTTTGCTTGTAAAAACCATCAAATTACTTGTTCTGTAGAAGTTTCCGAAGGCTGGATGATTACTTGTTCTTGGCATTATTTAGTGGGATCACTTGTACATTGATCGTTGAATCTAGGTAATTAATTTGTTCAGTTTGGTGTGTTGGGCAAAACTTCATCATAAGTAATGATGCTTGTTCACCCAAAGGTATAAAATGTGAGATTTTCCTTTTTCCACAAAAGTGATGTTAGTGGTTGTTTATGTTGAGTGCCCAGAACCTTAATTGATTAGGTTCAATCAATGCTTTGTTTTACTTTTTCTGCTTGCAATTTTATTGATCTTTATTATTTCCTTCTTGCTTTGGGTTTATGTTGCTTTTATTTTTTCTTGGTTCTTGAAGTAGGAGCTTAGGTTATTGATTTAAAACTTTTCCTCTTTTAATGATGCCCTATGATATTGATGTATTGTATATTTTTTATTCCAGTCCACATCGTTTTTATTTCCATTTTAAAATGTGTTATTTAATTTCCAAATCTTTAAAGATTTTCCTGTTATCTTTTTGTTAGCTATGTCTAGTTTGCTTCTTTTATGATCAGACTACTATAATTTCAGTTCTTTTAAAATTATTGGTACTTGTTTTATTGATCAAGTCTTGGTCTTTAGATACCTTGTGTGGGTGCTTGAATATGTGTGTAGCAAGCAGTTATTGACTGGACACTTTTTAAGTGTCCATTAGTTCTTGTGGTTGATGCTATTCCTGTTTTTTTATTTCCCTGTCAATTTCCTATCTAATTTTGTCAGTTGAAGAGAGTGATTGAAAAGTCTATTTGTCTATTCTTCTATTCAGTTCCTTCAGTTTTTCCTTCAGATATTCACAGCTATATCGTTTTGTACATGCACATTTAGGATTTGTCTTCTTGCTTTGAGCTTTGTATTATTATGTATTATACTTCTTAATCTTTGACAGTTTTCTTAATAATTATATGTTAGTGTAGCATTGTATTGTTTGCATAAGAAACTTTTTCATCCTTTTGTTTACACCCTCCTCCTGTTGTTATACTTGAATTGAGTTTTTGTTAGACAGTGTAGTTGTTTCTCAATCCATTCTGCCAAATTTTTT